ATGGTGGAAGGATGGCACAGGAGGGGAAGGTCCTCTGTGAGGTGGATTGATTCAGTGGCTGGGGTAATCAGGATGGGTGTATCAGAGACAGTATGATTGACACAGGACTATGAGGTGGATTGATTCAGTGACTGGGATAATTGGGATGGGAGTGTCAGAGAGTGCAATTGACACAGGACAGAGCAGAGTTTAAGGCTGTTGTACATAGGGTTGCTATGAGTTGCAAGCGTCTTGACAGCATATAACAACAAGGCTATGTCACCTGTATAACATGGCTGTTGATGAGTCTTCCTCCAATTCTGGTGCCATATTTCTCTGGATAGAGTCCAGCTTCTTGAATTATTTTCTCAGCATACAAATTGAATTTGATGTGTTTCATTGATTAAAGTGTTTCAGCCTTGAATATGTTCACTAGTCCATGACAAGAAATTAGTAAAAGAGTTACATGGTCAAGTGACTAGAATAGATTCATATTTGTTCCCACTCAAAATAATAGTGATCCAACACAATGTGAAAATTATTGAAGAATAGCATTAATACCACATTCAAATAAAATCTTGCTGAAGATTCCTTTAAAACAGCTAGAACAACACATCTAACAAGAAACTGCCAAAAATTTAAGCTGAATTAAGAAGAGGACATGGAATGAGGGATATCATTACTGATGTCAGATGGATCTTTGCTAAAAGCAGAGAATACTGGAAACACATTTACTTATGTTTTACTGAGTATAAAAAGGCATTTGATTATGGGTAATCATAACCAATTATGAATAACATTGAAAAGAAAGAATCCCAAAACACTTACATGTACTCAAGTGAAAAATTAGGGAGTAATCCTAGTATGACTTTTTAGTTTTGCTGCTTCATTTGGATGACATATTATTTAAGAGAAATCAACAAAATGTTGAAAATACTCTTTAAAGTTTTCTCAGATATTACCTTTTAATTATTGTGTCTCACCATCCTTATAACTATCAGAATTATTTTTTTTGTTCTAATTGAAAGTAAGAAAGATGATTTAAGCACTGTAAGAGAAACTCAAACTATGGTAAAATATATCCTACTGTGTTGCTGTTATATACCTTTGAGTCAGAACCGACTCATAGCTATCATTCCAGCAGGTTTTCAGAGGCTATATATCGCACAAGAGGAGATTGCCCATTTTTCTCCTGTGGAGCAGCTGGTAGATTCAAACCACATAGCTTTGGGTTGACAGCGCTTCTTCTTACCACTAAGCTACCAGCATTTATAAAATAAACCCAAATTATGGGAAAATCTAATCTAGTCTATCCTGTTAGCAAGTCAAAAATTTTAAACTAATATTTATCTATTTATTTTTAACATTCATTGTTATTGGTTTTGTTGGATGCTGTTGAGTCAAGTTTAATCCATAGCAACCCTGTGAACAGCAGATTTGAACCCTATCTTACCCTGTGCCATCCTCATACTTCCTGAAACACTAGAGCTCATTGCAGTAGTCACTGTGTCAATCCACCTGGTTGACGGTCTCTTTCAATGGCTTTCCTCACTTCTAAGCATCATATACCTCTCCAAAGAAGAGCTGCTTCCCTCCTAGCAACATGCCTAAAGTATGTGAGATGAAGCTTTATCGTCTTTGCCTCCAAGAAGCACTCTGGGTACACTTTATTCAAGATATATTTAAGTGTTTTTTGAAAGTTCATAGGATAGTCAATACTCTTCTCCAACATCACAGTTCAAAGACATCAATTCTTCTTCTGTCATCCTTTTTCATTGTCTATGTCTCAGATGCATAGCAAGTGGTATGAAAGGCCATGACCTGGATTGTAGGTATCTTAGTTCTCAAACTAACATCATTGCTCCTCAATAATTTGGAGAGGTCCCTGATTATAGACTTTCCAGTGCAATATGTTTCCTGATTTTTTGACTGATGGTACCAAGGGTGTTGCTTACAGGTCAAAGTAAGATGAAGTTATTGACAGTTTCAATGTTTATCTATCAGGATGTTGCCTATCAGACCAGTGGTAAGAATTTATGTTTTCTTGATGTTGAGATCCAATCCATATGGAAGGCTTTTATCTTTTGCAACAAGTGCTTCAAGCCTTCTTTACTTTCAGCAAGTAAGGTTGTATCACCTACATAGTGCAGGATATTAATGAGTTTTCCTCTGATCTTGGTGCCACATTCTTCTTCATTGAATTCAGCTTCTTGAATTGTTCCTTCACCATACATATTGAAAAGATATGGAGAGAGGATACAACCCTGACTGACTCTTCTCTTTATTTTAAACCATATAGTGTTCCCTTGCTCTGTTTGCCTAATAGTCTCTTGGTTTTGGTAAAAGTTTCACATGAGCACAATTAAGAGTTTTTAGACTCCTATTTTCTTTGATCACATTTGTGGCAACAAACTGAGAGCCCAATAAAATTAGCAGTATCAATAATTTATTTCTCTTGTCATATAGTCCTCTTTCAAAATAAAATAATATATATTTTTGTATTGAGAATCAGTGAGGTATTGCAAGTGGCAGAAATATGCAAAATGGGATGAAATGTCATAATTGCTATTTTTACAATGTTGGTCAAGATTGGAGAAACTTATACAACCATATTCACTCAACCGCTATATGTTTAAGGTTATTTTCAACATGAAATTACTGCAATATGCCATGCAGCTTCTGTGGTACAAGTTTTGTGCATTCTTTGCTTAAAATTGTAATCACAAACCATGCAAACTAAGGCATTTCCAGTAGACATGGTATTTGTTGGATGACTCTAGCATTTTAAAATAACTGTGTGTTTGTTATTTGTTCTAGCTGTCAGAGTATATTGAGGATCAACAGCATTTGGCAATAAAAGATACTTATTTTTAAGTCAAGCATAGTATCAACATTATACAAGCTCAGCTAAAAACAAATTTTGCTTTGTTATCTCTTAATCATATTCTGTCCTTAATAGTCAATTGACCATCAAGTAAGTAAAATGTTTGAGCAGTCTTATAAGGCCTCCCACCGTTTACAATGATTGCCATTGTTTCATTTTGGAAAAAGTCAATGTAACATTTTATATTTTATAATACACATTTGAAAGTTACTCTCATTTCTAAATTTATATCAAGTGTGATGTAACATTATTATTCATTTACTTATATAACACTGTTATTCATTTATCCAATTAATTTAACATTATGATTCATTTATAGAGCACCTACATGTATTAGGTATATTCTCATTCTAGATAAAAAAAGATGACTAAGATACCTTCCAAATAACTAGTCTTTCTAGTGTTACATACTCATGGTTGCTGTGATGCTAAACTCTGTAACACTGATGTGCCAAATGCGATGAGGGTTACCCATGGTGAACGGTGTTTGGTGGAGCTTCCTGATTAAAACAAGCTTGGAAGCAGGAGTGATGTCCATCTCTGAAATGGCTTGCCTCCGGAAACTCTATGAACAGTGCTCAGGTCTTTTGTTCATAGGGTCACTATGAGTCGTCTACAGAGCAATAACAACAAAGTGTTACATACTATAAAATGCAGAAAAAGATAAGCAAGAAGCTGTGGTGTGTGGCAAGCAAGGAGGGTGAAAAAGAAATATTGGAATAGGGATGTTCAGCTGATAGAAGAGGCAGAGAACAGCACCCCTGGTCAAGGAAATAACACATACATATGTGAAAGAATTTGAAAAGTTCAGAGATATTCAGTTATTCATTATGTATGAAGTATTGGATGAGTTAGAGAAAGTGAATGGAATTGAAGAACAAAGTGTTGAGAGGAGGAAGTAATGTCAAGCGATTAAGACCATACCATTTTAGTCTTATTACTTGGATTTTAATACTAGCTGTGCTACTAACTCACTGGTTATTCTGCCATTCTGTTTTCTTAACTATAAACCAGAAATATTGCATACATCTTGGCACATAGTGAGTTCTCAAGAAAATCTGGGGATGTTCTCCATAGGAAATTGCACTGGCAAACCAAAAGCTGTGCTCTCCAGAAGTTCATATCTATCCGTGGCTCTTCAAGAGAAAGATGGGCAAACTCTCCCCATGCAATTTACAGCCTCTCAAAAAATAGTTGGAAGGTCAGCTCTCACCTTCAACGGCAATGACTTCTTTTATCACTGTTATGAAGCTTATGTTTTAACCTCTTACAAATGAAGAGACATTGAATCATTTTACATAAATAATGACAGATTTATGAAGACAAAGCATTTTAATTTTGTAAATAAGCTAGTGGAAATTTTTCTTAAAAAAAGTTTTTAAAAAAAGACTAAAGTGCTCTGGAAAAAAAAATAAATGATAAGTGCTTAATACAATGGAGAAAATAAATAGGAAGTCAAATAGATATCCTGACAAAAATTGAAACACTTAACTGACACAATTGCTGTTGCTGTGGAGGTGGGAAGGAAGAAAAGTATTTTGAAGAGAGTTGGCAGTAAATTGAACAGGATTTGGCAACCAATTTCTAGGTAAGTGGTAAAGGAAAACAAAGGTGCCAAAGAACACTTTGAAGTTTCCATTTTTTAAGATTAGCTGTATGATAGGTAGAAACAACAGGTGGAAAAAAGTACCTCTGACCTTTTTAAACGTCACAGTCACAGTTAATAGCTCAACTAACTCTTTGCCAGTGAGCCAAACTGACTCATAGCTGACCCTCCAGGGAGCTTGCAGAAGCTGTAAATTGCATGGGAAGAGATTTCCCTTCTCCCGAGTGCTGGTGGGTTCAACTTGCCATCCTTGAGTTGGCAGACTTCTTCCCCACTAGGCCACTTGAACCCCATACAGTAAAATGAATCCTTTCTACTAATATTAAAAAGCAGGAAGAGCCTAACTACTCGTTCATAAATATAAATGATAGCTACGTGCAAGAACAAAGATTTCATAAAACAAAAACAACTTTGAAATTTCATGACTTTCTTTACACAACAGGATCATTGATACAAGTTGAGTTGTAGTTTATTTATTCATACTAAACAAAAATGTAATATGCATATTGTGCTTGTCTCTGTTTCTTCTAGGGTCCCCAAGGACCAAGAGGTCACCCTGGGCCTCCAGTGAGTTTATTTAAGTTTGGAGCTATTTATCCTTAAAATGTTTATGCTTACCTGCTTTTGGATTTCTATTAAATATAAGTTTTCATCTTTTTTTTCTATAGGGGCCACCTGGAGCACCTGGTCCAAGAGTAGGTTTTGTTTTACTTTCTTTTGTTACATTAACTTCTGAAAGCTTTTTATGTTAAAATTTCTAATTATAACAATAATTATAATTACTGTTTATTCTCTATGCTTCATTGCTAACTTCATACAGACCTGACCCAACAGTGTAACTTTGAAATCTAACCCTCACACTTATCTATAAAGTAAGAACAGTATTACCTACTTCCTTGGGTGGTTTTAACAAGTAAATCAAGCAGTAAAGTTCCCAGCAAAGTGCTTGACAATTGCTCAAAAAATTACTAAGTCCCTCCATTTCTTTCTATTTTCAAGTCCTGGCCCTCTCTTTACTTAAAATATCTTGGAAATTTTTTTTGTTGTTTTGCATACTAGAGTTACCTACTTCTTGGTCATTAGAGAAATCCTCAGTTGATGACACTGTAGAAGCCCTCTTGGGTCTTATATATTTGCTTGTTATTTATTACTGTCTATAATTTGCTACCTTTACCTTTGAAGCACTCCATGACTTGCTTAGCTACCATCTCTTTACCTCTGAAATTGCTAGTTTGATCTCTCTCAAGATTTGTATCTGCTTTAATGCCAAAGATTTCTGTGTATTCTTCCTCCCTATAAAAGTTCTCCTTCTACCTCCATATTCATCTATCTTCCGCTGTCATTGCACCCAATCCAGATTCACTGGTCCTTTGTCTTATTTCATGCCTGAAAGTGATTCAGCATTGGCTGCATTATTCAATTGCCCAGTGGCCAGTCCAAGTAAGGGTTGGCCTTCCAAACCTTGTTTATTTCCACATGTAAGTCTGGTATCAATTTTATCTCCATCGGTTCTAGGTCATGGATCACTGTAGTCTACCTTCCTGGGCCAGAAATTTATTATCCACTGCTTTACATGAGGTATAAGGAATACCTTTAAAGGAGAGTGCCTCAAAGACAATTGCCCCTTGAAAATGAGGATTTTTTCCAAATTACTACTCCTTACTTACATACTGATTGAAACCTACAATGTGTGAACATCAATGGTAGTATCTTTCTCTAGACCTTCAAATCATTCCTCTCTTTCTAAGCCTCCACAATTACAAATATCCTTATCAGTTTGCTGTCTTGCCAAGAAAAGACAAATTATAAAAGATCTACATCATTGAGTAAGGACATATTTAGAAGAAATTTTCACATTTATTATCAAAATTTAGTAAATCATACCTGTCTTATTTAGAATATTTTTGTATGTCTCCCTAGCTATCCAGAATGAAGAATGTGTGAAAGATTTTTGTTTGTTTGTTTAAAAAGAATGGCAATAAAAAGCGTTAACTTTGAGTAATTATGTATGAGGACTAAATGAGATAGTACACATTGCTTGACACATTATGAATATTCAGTAAATTTTCATTTTTCTTATGTATGTTTTATTTCTTTCCCCCTGACTTTCCTGATTCTTGGTAACTATGAAAACATGGTTGTGTATTCTCTTCTAGGGCTTAGAGAGTTTACCCCAGGAAAGTCACAATGAAGCAATGAGAATAATACTTTGAAAGCAAAGGCATAAATGACAATGTGAAAACACGTACATGCCCTTTCTGAAGTCAGCATAGGATCATCTCCTCTGTGAAATTCTTCTTTCCATTCTCTCTTCAGATTGCAATATTAAAACAGTCACGTCCCTTCATTCATTCAAACACATGTCCATGTCAGTCTAATTCTGCTAGATTTTTAATTTTCTGAAAATAGACGTTATACTCTCCCCCCTCCTATAATTCAGTCCTTATAAGTGTCTGTTGAATAAATGAATGAATAAGTATGAAGAAGCAGGCTAGGCCTGTAAAAAAAATCAGTGTGAAGCTTCCAAGCTAGAAGACTTCATTTGGAGGAAAACAGAAAAATCATAGAATTAGAGCTAGAAATGTTCTTAGTAATAATCTAGTGACATGTGCATGTATTATGAGTTGTGACTTATTAGTCAGTGGATTATGAAACCAATTTTGTTAGTTCTATTCAGCATTCTTTTGAAATGAAATTGAATAAAACAAAAACTACAGGAAGTGACTGCTATTGCTGAGTACAGGAGTAATGAAAATGTTCTGGAATAAGACAATGGTGATGGCTGCATACCATTTTGAATATAGAATCCTGATATAAGCATTTTTTTTAATTCCTACAGTTGTGAAAAAGTTTATTCTGATAATTTTTTTTTAGTTTGAGCATTTCTTTTAGAGAGCAGAGGAAATGGTACACTATTTTTACTCTCTCCTCCTATATCTCTAACTCTGAATAACCATCCTTTTAATATTTCACATGAGGAAAGGACTTTTAGTGTCTACCAGAATGCAATGGTGATCTCAAGTTAAGGCACTTGGTACAAGTGCTTGAGTTACAGATTCAACTGGCTGCTTTTATTACGGAGTACCGTCTTCACTTAGCAGACTAACAATGTTATTGCTACAAGTCCAGGGCACATACTTGCTTGAAAATGAATGAAGTGAATAATTTAAGAATTGATAGATCTTGATGCTGGTGGCAAAATTCAAACTTTTAAGCAAACAATAATTTCAGAAGATTTATATCTACCATATAAATTGACTAATTTCTGAAAGTACTTAGATTTTTGTAAAGAGATAGTCAATGATGTCAACAAGTTGTTTTATTAAATAATAAAATGTTTCAGTATTTGTAAGATCTGCTTAATTATGTAAAATCATATTTCCTCAATTATTTATGCAAATGATCCAAATTATTTATTATTTATTTATGTTTTGTTAACAAAATTAAATATCAGTAAAAACCTTCCTTCAAAGTTTAAGCTAAATGAGATTTTTACATTAAAAGTATAAAAAAAATTCATTGAGAAATGTAAGAATTGAATTGGCAAATGTTTTTATAATATGTATTCTTACCGTATTTTAAAGATAAGAAAAGGAAAAAGTTCATTAATAGAGAATTGTTTGTTTGTTAAATAAAATTTTTATTTTATACTGGATTACTAGGGGTTGGTGTGTCGGAATTAGGGAAACTGGCTCAGGACAGTGCAGGGTTCAGAGATGCCAAACATAGGGTCTCTATGAGTCCCTGGTGACTCAATGGCACATGACAACGAAAGCAATTGGATTGCATACAAAGTTTGTATACATTGGTTTTTTACACCAGATCTTTCACATTTCCTTTACCCACTCACTACCTCCACCCATAAAATCATGCAACCATATCATTACCCACCACCACCATCACCTCATTCACTACCCATCTTCACCCCTCTGTCCCCACCCTCCCACTTGGATCCTCGTAATCAATCTACAATAATGGTCTTACACAGTATTTGTCCTTTTGGGAATGAGTTGGTTCATTTAGCATAATGGGGGTGGGGGGTTATTCCACACTGAAGCTATTAAGGAACTACCACTTGGAAAATTTTTATGCCATTTCAAAAAAAGAATATTCACAATTATTTAAAAGGCTCTTAAAATATTTTTTCCAACTACATTGCTCATAGATTTGTTCCATATATTCCAACCAATCTAAAATCATAATAGATTGTAAACAGAAAATGAGATTCCAATTTCTATTCTATCCTATTCTATTCTGATCTAGACATTAAAGAGATTTACAAAGATATAAACAGTGCCTCTATTTACTGACATTTTTAATTTTGCAATAAAACTCCTTTTATAAAATAATTTACATTAACATATAGTGGGCTTATTTTAGAGAAGTTTGTTAATAGCTCAATATTTTCTTTTCATTTCTAATATGATAAATATCAGCTTAAGGTACTGCACTCATATAAACATAAGCTCTTTGAGTTACTTAATAATTTTTAGAAGTTCCAAAGTCTTCAAGATCTGTAGAGTTCAAGAGCTGCCAATCCTCTAAGATTAAAGCAATTAATCACAAACAACAAAGAACTAGAAAGTATAAAGGAAGTTATTCTTTGGTATTTAATTCCATTTTCCATGTTTAGTATCAATTATCTTTGTGGCCTTTTCAAAAAAAATCTTCACTTTGATATAACCGTGACAGTCCAACTGCAATTTGTTGAAAATATTTTTTTGTTGTCGTTAAGTGCTGTCGAGTTGGAACTGACTTACGACTGACCCTTCAGAGTGGGTTTTCAGAGTCAGTAAATCACATAGGAGGATATAGCCCAACCTTCTTCTGTGGAAGAGCTGGTAGGTTTGAACTGTGTGCCTTTGGGATCGCAGCACAGCTTCTTACCAATTGACCACTAGAGTTCCTGAAAAATGAATTAGGCTAAGCTTTTTATGTCAGGAAATCAAAAGACATGTTGCAACAGCAAAGTTTACAGTCAGGGACCTCACCAAAGTGCTGGAGAGCAAAAGTGTAAGTTTAAAATCCAAAGTGCAATTATTTGTTATGCATCTGAGATTTAGATAGTAACTAAAGAGGTTATTGTTGTTGTTGAGGCCTTTCTATAACTATCATTTCTCCAAGTTCATAGGATTTCCAGAGGCATGTGCTTTATGACATGGATGCCACACCTCCTTTCAAACCTGTTTTAAACTGGAATCTCCACCAAACACTGTCCACCATGGGCAGCCATTGTGGCATTTGAGACCCCAGTGGCACAAGGTTCAGCATCACAGCAAACCCAGATTACGTCAGCACAGCAAATTGACAGAAGAGTGTTATATGAATTAGAGGAATGTTCCTCCAAAATATAATAACAAGAGATTAAAATATAATCCCTACGGCCCAAATTTTAAATACAAGGGGTCTCCAAGATGTCTCGTTGACTCTAAAAAGAGACTTAAATAAAAAACAACCAAACATTCCACACAGATCCTCAACCAAAGCAAGAGCATCATCTTACAGAGCCCAGCCGCTTCATCCAAGTCCAAAATGGAGACAAGGGCTTGGCATTATATGTTGTTGTTGTTGTTGTTGTTGTTGTTAAGTGCCATCTAGTACCAACTCTATAAACAAAAATGCTTAGCCTTGTTCTGTAACTATTGTCTGTTCTCTAAGTTCACAGTTTATAGTTTCCACATGACAGAATAGTAATTGATGTTTTTTTTAGTTGTGGTACTGGAGAAGAGCACTAAATATCCTCCGGACTGCAAAAAGAATGAATAGATATATGCTGGGGGAAAGCAGCCAGAGTGCTCCTTAGAGACAAGGATGACAAAGCTTCATCTATCTCTCATACCTCGGACCTGTTGCTAGGAGAGGCCATTCCTTGGAGAGAGTGCAGCCAGGATGCTCCTTAGAGAGAGAAATGGTGAAACTTCTTTTTACATACTTTGGACATGTTGTTAGAAAAACATAATGATCTGAAAAGTTGAGAGTCAGCAGAGGAGTGGAAAACCCTCAGTGAGGTGCATTGACACGTGACTGGAACAATGGGGGGCTCTTATGTGGCAGAGATGATGAGGATGGCACAGAATAGGGCAGGGTTCAGATATACTGTTTATAATATTGCTATCATTCATACTCCACTCAGCAGCTCCTAACAGCAATAACAACCTTTGGTGCAAAACTATTACATCTGCCTTTTACTTTCGTATCCGTTCACCTAAAAGTTATCATTTGTTCTTCAGATCTCAGATCACCTGCTACTCCCACAGGGAAGCCTTCTTGCATCCTCCTGACTTGACTCCTGACTCTTTACAACTCTGTTGGGTTTCCAAGGCTGTGTATTTTGATGACTGATGACTACCCATCTTTCTTCTGAGGAGAGGGTGGTTCATTAAATCTGTTGACCTTTCAGTTAGCAGTTTAACACAACAAACTAAACTACAGATTTAATTGGGAGTGTGGGGCGGGGGGTTGTTGTTAGGTACTATCGGTGAACAGCCCACCTGAACCCTGCCCTACCCTGTGCCATCCTCATCATTTCAAACACAGTAGAGTCCACTGATGAAGTCACTGTGTCAGTCCATCTCATTAGGGGTTTTCCCCTCCTCTGACAACCCTCCATCTTTCTAAGGAATAGCTTTTCCTAGCTACACATCTTCAACAACCGGTGTTATGCAGATGACACAATCATGCTCTCTGAAACTGAGGAGGACCTGAAGCACTTGCTGCAGAAGGTCAAGGACTGCAGCCTTCAATATGGATTGAAGATCAATATCAAGAAAACAGAGATTCCACTGGGCTAATTGGCAGCATCAGTATGGATGGTGAAGAGATTGAGATAGTTAACAGTTTTCATTTACTTGGCTCCACAGTCAACACTCTTGGTAACAGCAGCCAGGAAATCAGGAGACGAATTGCATTGGGAAAGCCAGCTGTGAGGGATCTCTCAAGAGTACTGAAGTGCAACGACATCAGGCTGGAGACTAAGGTGCGCCTGATCCAGGCTATAGTCTTTGCAATTACGTGCTATGCATCAGGAGTTGGACAGTGAATAGGGATGATAGAAAGAGAATTGATGCCTTTGAGTTGTGGTGCTAGAGAAGAGTGTAATATACCATGGACTGCTAGGAGAACAAACACGTTTGGTCTGGAGAGGGTGAAGCCAGAATGCTCCCTGGAGTCAAGGATTCTGAAGCTTCATCTGATGTACCTTGGGCATGTTGCAAGGAGGGACTGGTCCTTGGAGAGGGACATCATGTTTGGGAGAGTGGAGGGATGGCGCAGGAGAGGAAGACCCTCGATGAGATGGATCGATTCTGTGAGTGGAGTGGTGGGAATGAATATGTTTGAGACGGTGAGGTTGGCACAGGATAGAATGGCGTTTAGGGCTCTTTTACATAGGGTCCCTATGAGTCGCAAACGACTCAATGGCACATAACAACAACAACAAGCTACACATCCAAAGGATGAAAGGTGAAGCTTCACCATCTTTGCCTCCAAGGAGCACTTTGGCTGCACTTTTTCTAAGATATATTAGTTTGTTCTTTTAATAGTACATAAGTTCTCTGTCCCATGTTCTTTTCTTTAATAATACTACCACAATTTTTAATTATGTATTTCTGAAACAATTTAATCAATCTTTCTCTCCCTTTATAACCTTAGGCTTCAGGAAGGCAAGTTTCTTTTTGCTTACCATTAAATCCTCAACATGTATCATAGATAAGTTAACTTTTTCACAGGGTGAAAGCCACATGTTGAGTCAGGAATAGTGTACTTTATTGATTGTTCCATCATTGTAAATAGGTTTTTGTTGGTTTTTTTAAAAAAAATTACCCACCATAAATTAGGAGACATCTGTTGAGAACGATTTCTAACATTTGGACATCTGTGTAAAGAAATACCTTACAAGCTCAGTCATTCTGAAAGGCATTAGATTGCTTGGTTTACTTATACAGATGCTATTTCCAAGAACATTCTCCCAATTTCTGCTTCTTAGCTCCCAAATTTACTTTACAAAAATATAAAAAGACTTATACTAATAGTTATACCTAGTCTTCCCCTAAAAATACCTTTTTATTAAATTCAGGAGGAGATTGAGTTCTTCATGTATTATTTCTTTTGGAACTAATGGTACATTTTCCAACTTCAGAAATTGTTTTTAAGACCACAGAACTATCAGATTAAACTAATGTGGTGACTACCTCAGGACAGTAGTATTTTACTCTATTTTTCTTCCAAGAACGTAACTTAAAAAATTGCTACAGTTATTTATTCTTCACTTTACAATTTATTACCCATGATGTTGTTGTTAGGTGCCATTGAGTGGACTACAACTCATAGTGACCCCAAGTGGGATCATATTTCTTTCTTCTTACATTTTAGTAACTTTTTGTGTGTGTTTTCAGGCAGTTGAAAGAAGTAACTGCTAGACTTTGGTCCTCTCTTAATCAGAAAACCTTTAAGACTTGGATGAAGACAGCATTTGTCCTTTCAGATAGCAAGAGAATACTTCCAAGTTTTGTGTAACCATGGGAATTACAAACTCATTTCAGATAATAGCTCTGGTATACTTTAGCAGCAATGCTTTCAGAATTTACAAACTTTAAAATATTCAATGTTGCTCTTACTGCTTTTCTCAAATGGTTTTGTTTTATACAGAAACAAATGAGCATCAATGCTGCTATTCAAGCCTTGATTCAATCAAATTCTGCCCTACAGATGGAGGTAATATATCTAGTTGTGTTTACATTGGCACTCTTAACTATACAAATTAAATAGGACCTTGTGTGCATGTATAGATCAAAATGTGGCTTTATGTCAAAGGCTGTATTAAGAACAGATTGAAAATATGAAAACATTTACTAAGACAGAGTAAACTATTTTAATGTAATGAAAAGAAATGTATGCATAAGATTTTTTAAGGGAAACATTTAAAACAAAACTATAATGTTAAAGAACTTATTTGCAAGGAAGTTAGTACTATAAAACAAAAACAGTTAAAGCTAAACATGTTCCTTGAAATAATGTCTATCCATTGTCATTACTTATTATTCTTTTTCGAATTCTAGTTACTGTTCGTAATTTTTTAAACCTTATTCAATATGCATGTTAATTCTCAAACTTTATATTAGTTTAAAAAGTTGACTTTTGAACGGGAATGTAATCACTTATTTATGATCAAAGTTAGTAAGCATACATATGTGTTTATATTTAAACATGAAGTCAGTATAAAATTTCTTTTTATACTGTGGAAAATACGGAGCTCTGGTGGCCTAGTGGTAAAAACCTATGCTACAATCCCAAAGGCACATAGTTCTAATCCACCAGATGCTTCATGGGAAAAATATAAGCACTCTCCTTCTGTGTGATAAACTGCCTCTGTAAACACACTGGAGGGTCAGCTATGGTTCTGTTTTGAATTGTTGGCAAATAACAGTAACATGGAAAAGATACAAAGGTTTTTTCATTCTGCCTCCAACTGATTGCACTGCACACAACATGAGCTTCTTTTTACTGCCTACCTACTTTTCTGTTACTGTTCTCTACTTTTCCCCCCTAATATGATTCTTATCTTGATTTGGCAGAGCTACCAGAACACTGAAGTGACTTTACTCGACCACAGTACAGAGATATTCAAAACCCTAAACTATCTTAGCAATTTACTGCACAGCATCAAGAATCCTCTTGGCACAAGAGATAACCCAGCAAGAACCTGCAAAGATTTACTTAACTGTGAACACAAAGTATCAGATGGTAAATTCTTGGTTTCCTCAAATATTGGTGTCTAGCTTTATGTCATTATTTTACGTTTGCTTGTTATTTACAGTGCGTTCACTCCAAATCTTAATCATTTTTATAAAACCGTAGTACATGGTAGTTAATGGTCATCAAAAACAAAATGCATTTGGAGGGAGATGTTTTTCTGATGTCAAGGAGTACTTGTCAGAGTTCACATAACAAAGGTCTTCTAATTCAAACCTCTACTAAGCCCTGATTTTTTTTCCACTTATATCAAGTATATTAGAGATGATAAGGATGGTGCAGGATAGGTCAGGTTGTTTGCAGGGTTGTGCTCTACTCAACAGCGTATAACAATAACAATCTCTTCAGCTTATAGTTTCTGTGCTTTGAATGTAACACATTTATGTTAAAAATTAAAATAGAGCTGACCTTTAGATTAGCGATCAGAGAGGATCACCTGTGAAAAAGTGTTAATCTACGACTACCAAAGATATTAACCTGAAGAAAGATTTTGTACTTTGTGTACATAAAACTATTGTATTTTCTAAAACATAGATTTTAAATACCACATTCTAGAATCAGTGGCCATAAAAAATGGAGTTGTTTATCTTCCTTGGAAGTTTCTCATTCCCTTCACAGACACCAAATTCATTAATCAGAGGTATAGAAATTAATTTTTATTACAGTCACCAGGGAAAGTTTTTTATTAAATGGATCCATCATTAATTAAGGATAAGAGACCTTGACTAGTACAATATGTCATTGAATTTTAATTTCTATTTTGTCTAGGATCAACTGTTTCTGAATTTTTTTGTTTTATTTACTAAAAGTCTTAGTCTTAACAAGATGATACATGTTTCTTTGGGGCAACTGTTTTGTATGATCTAGTGATATCTATCTATCATGGGAACTCGGGTGACTTAGTTGTAAGAGCCTGACACAGCAATCCCAAAGGCCTGCAGTTCAAATCCAGCAGCTGCTCCACAGGAGAAGGTTGGACAGTCTCTCCTGTGAATTACTGTCTCTGAAAACCCACTGGAGGGTGAGCTATGAGTTGGTTCTGACACAACAACAACAAACCACCAAGGAATCCTGGTAGTTTAGTGGTTTAAGCCAAGACAGCTAACCAAAAGGTTGGAAGTTCAAACCTACCAGCTACTCCACTAAAGAGTAATGAGGCAATCTGCTTCCATAAAGATTTCCAGTTTTGGAAACCCTATGGGGCAGCTCTATTCTGCTCCAGAGGGTCACTTTGAGTCGGAATCTATTTAGTGACAACAGATAATCTATCTTCCTATCTGTATCACCACCTACTCTAGTTGCCATTGAGTTAATTCTGTTTCACGGCAGCCCTCTGTGTGTCAGAGTAGACCTTGCTGCAAAGAAATGTCCATGGCTGATTTTTTGGAGGTAAATTTCTAATAACTGTCTTCCGAGGCACTTCTGAATGTAATTGTACCTCCATCTTTAATTTAACAGCTTCATGCTTAATCATATGAAACACACAGGGAATTTACTTATTTATATGTAACTGCTTATATTCCAGAAATGCAATATAAATATTCATTAATAGTCAACTTCTGTATACAGTTCCTGACTTCTACTTGTTATCTGCTACTGAGTCCCTTGTGACTAATAGTGACCCTATATACAACAGCTCTGAGCCCTGCTCTATCTTGAGCCAATTTCATCGTCTCCAACACACCTACCAACTTTACCCCAGTCAGTAAGTCAATTCATCTCATCCAGAGTCTTCTTTTCTTGGGCTCTCCAGCCACCCTTCAAAGCATGATATCCCTTGCTAAGGACTGATCCTTCCTGGCAACCTGCCCAAAATATTTCAGACAGAGCTTCAAAAACCTTGCCTCCAAGAAGAAGACTGGTTTCACTCTCTCCAAGACAATCCATTCAATACCCTTCTCCAGCACCACAACTCAAAGTTTTTGTTTCATCTTCTATCATTATTGGTCATTCTTTAGCTCTTTGATACATACCAAGTAAATGTGAAGACCATGGCTTGGATCAGGTGTACCTTAGTCTCTAAACTGATATAATTGCTCTTTAGCATTTAGGAGAGGTTCCTGACAGCAGAGTTTCCCAATGCAATTTGTCTTTGTTTTTCTGGCTGCTGTTGCTTGTGAAACCAAAAGGCTGAATCTGTTAACAAACTCAATCTCTTCTCCATCTATCATGGTGCTGCTAATTATCTCAATGGTGAGAAACTTTGCTTTCTTGAAGTTGAACTTAAATCCATATTGAAGGCTACAGTCCTTGGGTTTCTACAGCAAATGCTTCAGGTCCTCCTGCATTTTAGTAAGTAAGGTTGTATCATCTGCACAACACAGGTTGTTGGTGAGTCTTCTTCTAATCCTGATGCTACATTCTTCCTCGTAAAGTCCAGCCTCCCAAATGATCTATTCCACAGATAGATTGAAAAGGTATGGAGATAAGCTGCATCCCTGGTATACACCTGATCTTGAACCATGCAGTGTTTTCATGTTCTAGTCTAATGACTGCTTCCTGGTCCAATCACAGGTTTCACATGAGCACACAAAGTGTTCTGCAATTCCCATTCTTCTTCTCAAGGTTAGTCACAATTTGTGACCATCAAATGCCTTTGCATAGCTAATGAAACTCAAATAGGCATTCCTTTGATACACACAGCTTTACAATCTATCTAACATTGGCTAAAATGTCATTAGTGCCATGGCCTCTTCTATACTCAGCCGGCACATCTGACAGTTTTCTCTTTATGACTGAATATTGCACTAGGCACTGAGAAGCCAAAGCAAAGGGAAGAAATCAAGAAGTTAAAGAACTGAATAAAAGATTTCAAGGGGCAGCACAGGAAGACGAAGCAAAGTATTATAAGGAAATGTGCAAAGAGCTGGAATTGGAAAATCATATGGGACAAACTCACTGGGCATTTCTTAAGTTGGAGGAAGTAAAGAACAATTTCTAGCCTCAGTAGCAATACTTAAGAATGCTGTGGACAGAATGTTGAATAACCCAGGAAGTATCAAAAGAAGATGGAAAGAGTACATGGAATGATTACACCAAAAAATTGGCTGACACAGAAGAATTACATGAAACAACATATAAGAGGCAATGGTGAAAGAGGAGGTTCAAGCTTCTCTGAAGGAACTGGCAAAAAAACAAGGCCCCAGAAGTTGACAGGATATCAGTTGACATATTTCAACAAAAAGGTGCAGCCCAAGACATGCTAACCAGGTTATGAAGAAATCTGGAGGACAACTATCTGGCTAACTTACTGGAAGAGATTCAAATTCATTCTCATTCCAAAAAAAGTGTGATCCATCAGAATGTCAACATTATCAAACAATATCATTAATATCACATGCAAGCAATATCCTACTGAAGATTATTACAAAATTACTAGAACAGTTTCTGCTTTAGATTATTGTTGTTGTTTGTTGTTGTTATGTGCCATCGAGTCATTCAAGACTCATAACGACCCTATATACAAGAGCCCTAAATGTCATTCTATCCTGTGATATATCTTAGAAAAAGTGCAGCCAAAGTGCTCCTTTGGATGTGTAGCTTGTAGTTGTTGTTCTTATGTGCCATGGAGTCATTTGCAACTCATAGCGACCCTATGTACAAGAGCCCTAAAAGCTGTTCTATCTTGTGCCAACCTCGCCGTCTCAAACACATTCATTCCCACCACTCCACTCACAGAATCGATCCATCTCATCGAGGGTCTTCCTCTCCTGCACCATCCCTCCACTCTCCCAAA